ATTACCTCCTATAGTACATGCTGGAATCGCTACTCATGAAGGAATATAATACAGAATATAATAATGAAGAAGTGGAAAATAGTGGAAACTTGGTATCCAGAACAGTTTGCTGGAATTAAATAATTTAATATTTAGTGTCCTGTACAATTTACTGGAGTTTTATATTGTACAAACACTATATCCTGTAATTGTTACTAGAAATGAATATTGTTCATTTTTCTATCCTATATTCATCATATTTTTATTACCTCGTATATTATATGCTGGAATCACTACTCATGAAGGAATATAATCCAGTATATTATAATGGAAAAGTGGAAAATACTGGAAATTTTGTAATTAGAACAATTTACTGAAATTAAATAATTTATATTTCATTTCCTGTATATTATACTGGAGTTTTATATTGTAAAATCACTATATCCTGTAATTACTACTGGAATGAAATAATGCAGATTTTTTTATCCTGTACTCATCCAATTTTTATTACCTGCTATAGTACATGCTGGAATTGCTACTCATGTAGGAATATAATCTAGTATATTATAATGGAGAAGTGGAAAATAGTTGAAATTTGGTAATTAGAACAATTTGCTTGAATTAAATAATCTAATTTTTAGTTTCCTGTATAATTTGCTGGAGTGTTATATTGTATAACCACTATATCCTGTAATTACTACTGGAATCGAATAATGCAGATTTTTTTATCCTATATTCATCCAATTTTTATTACCTCCTATAGTACATGCTGGAATCGCTACTCATGAAGGAATATAATACAGAATATAATAATGAAGAAGTGGAAAATAGTGGAAACTTGGTATCCAAAACAATTTGCTGGAATTAAATAATTTAATATTTAGTGTCCTGTATAATTTACTGGAATTTTATATTATACAACCACTATATCCTGTAATTGTTACTGGAAATGAATATTGCTCATTTTTTTATCCTATATTCATCCAATTTTTATTACCTCATATATTATATGCTGGAATCGCTACTCATGAAGGAATATAATCCAGTATATTATAATGGAGAAGTGGAAAATACTGGAAATTTTGTAATTAGAACAATTTACTGAAATTAAATAATTTAATTTTTAGTTTCCTGTATAATTTGGTGGAGTGTTATATTGTAAAACCACTATATCCTGTAATTACTACTGGAATGAAATAATGCAGATTTTTTTATCCTATACTCATCCAATTTTTATTACCTGCTATAGTACATGCTGGAATCGCTACTCATGAAGGAATATAATCTAGTATATTATAATGGAGAAGTGAAAAATAATTTGGTGGAGTGTTATATTGTAAAACCACTATATCCTATAATTACTACTGGAATAGAATAATGCAGATTTTTTTATCCTATATTCATCCAATTTTTGTTTCCTGTATGTTACACTGGAGTAATATATTGTTAAAGCAGTAAACCCCGTATTTAATACTGGATATGAAAAATCACTAAAAAAAATGACTAATAATAAAGAACTCACCTAGTATAATATACTGGAGATAGAGCTTATACAAGGCACATGTTCCGTGAAATTTACTGGAATCAAACAAAATTTACTAGAGGATAACCACTAACATCAAGTATAATATACTGGACAAAATGAAAGTAAGTGGAATTACATAATTTAATATTTTGTTTCCTTTATAATACACTGGAGTTATATGTCGTAAAACCACTATGTTTTTACGACATAGTGGTTTTTTTGTAAGCAAATTAAGAAGCAAAAAAAAATACACAGTATTAATATTTTGAAAAACAAGAATATTGAATATATATATTATTCGGGATTATATCAACCAATGCAACTTTATTGTATATATTCAATCATTTTTTTTCCTATATTTTCTTGCATAAGGATGAACTACAGCAGAATTTGTGCAATTTGTTCTGGTATGCCCATATTTTTTGCAACGACTACATCTTGGTTCCTTCTTGAATTCTGTACCGGAAACATGTCGATTCTTCTGTCTTCTTCCTAGCAGTACTTTGGCATCTGGAGGCTTAGTGATTTCTAATTTAATAGTGTCTGGTATAACCCATGTTGTTGCATCACCTACAAAATTTACTTGCCCTTCATACGTTTTCAACCAAAAGTCCCTTGAAAAATAGGCTGAGCAAAAGGCCGATTTCTTTTGATGTATACTCTCAATTGCAGCAATTGCATGTTCACATGGCATCTCATCTAGCTGAAATTCAGAACAATCACATGTTCTTTTGTCTAGATCAACAATAAATTCCATACCACCTTCTTTGACATTGAATTTGAGTCTATCAGTGGGCAATACTCTAAATGTAAAAGCTGGTTGAATTTTTGCTTCCAATGTTGCTTCTGCCCAATTTGATATATCACGGAATATTCCTTCTGCAAGTGTCCTTCTTTCATAGAATCAGCTTTGCAATTTTTCTTGTATGAAATCCATCATTGTTAAAATTGGCAATTCTCTTGAACGTCTTAAAACATTATTCATTGACTCAACAATATTTGTTGTTAACATATCATATCTTCTTCTGGGACAATGTGAACGAGCCCACCTTCCTGGCGGTTCCTCCATCAAATAATTAAAAGTTTTCTTATCAACAACAGCTATTTGGGACATGAAGTCATCAAATTCTGATTGAAGGTATACTCTTGCAGCACTTTGAAAGAGATCACAGTGTTTCTCACTCTTCTTTGCTTCAGATTCTTTTCTAAATGATAGATGCAAATTCCATGGTAGCACTCAGGGAAAACCTTTGCAATTCCATTTGCAATAGCCTTGTGTTGATCTGACAAGAACATTAAATCATTACGAATCCCAATTGCTTTTCTTAATTCCCTGAAATACCATTCATATGATTCATTATTCTCTTTATCCACTACTCCAAAAGCTATAGGAAAAATCTGGTTATTTGCATCTTTGGTAACAGTCACTAATACAACACCTCTATATTTATTTTTTAAAAATGTTCCATCAACAGCAATCAGTGGTCTACAATATTTCCACCCAGAAATTAATGCCCCATACATAAAAAAACATGTAAACAAACCTGTAAAAAGAAAAGTAAATAAAATTCAGTTAACTTACACAGTATAATATACTGGAGATAAAGCTCATACAAGCCACACGTCCTGTAAAATTTACGGGCATCAAACAAAAATTAACTATTTTATAATATTCTTTGAGTATAACATACTGGAGTTCCATTAACATCCAGTATAATATACTAGACAAAATAAACTAAAAATACAAAATTTTAGGTTGAACAGAACTCACCCAGTATATTATACAGGACAGAAAGCTTATAAAATACAGATATCCTGTAAAATATACTGGATGACAACCACTAACATCCTGTATAATATACTGTACAAAATCAAATACAATAGATTGAAGAGAAGTCACCCAGTATAATTTACAGGAAAGAAAGCTTTTACAATACACACGTCCTGTAAAATATACCGGAAGACAAACACTAACTTCCTATTTAATATACTGGACAAAATGAAATAAAATTGAAATACATAACTTAAAATTTTGTTTTCTGTATATTAAACTGGAGTTATATACTGTTAAACCACTATGTCCCGTATTTAATAATGGACATAAAAAATCACTCAAAAAAAGTAATAAATAAAAAGAACTCATCCAGTATAATTTACAGGAAAGAAAGCTTATACAATACACACATCCTGTAAAATATACTGGACAACAACCACTAACATCCTGTATAATATACTGGACAAAATAAAATACAATAGATTGAACAGAACTCACCCAGTATAATTTACAGGAAAGAAAGCTTATCATAAATAAGAAATTTACCTGTTTTCTTCATCTCTCACAATATTTGTATATGATCCTGGATTTTTTTGTTCCATCATATACAAATATGATGGCAGCTGCTCATAATTCTGTTTAGTTGTTCCTCTTAACAAAGATAACCCCTTTTGAATAGCATGCCATGCTTTTCCATAACCAACATCAATTCCATGTGCTCTTTTCATCTCTAAAATGACAAACTTAGGTTTTACCTCAGTAGCTATGTCTCTTAAGTTGTCAATCACGTAATCTCTAATCACATTTGAAGTTGCTTGCCTTTGATCTGATTTTCGAATATCAACTGAGCACTCATGTGTTCTCTGAAATTTAACTATTTTAAAAAGTGTTGATTCCTTAATTCTTGAACCTCGAACAGTCCAAGTACACTTTTCATCAGTACATACCAAAGAGTATCTCGTGTTACTTGACCTGTTAACATAGAACTCAAAATGCTCCTTTATAGCTGCTAAGCAAAAACATCTAATCATGGCATTTTTATCTTGAAAAACAGAACCAAGTTTTACATCATCCAGTGATGCATTTTCCTTTAATATTATTGATGGAGATTCTTTTGCGTTTCCTTTTTCTTTCCTTTTTCTTCCTTCAATACTTTGTAGTGATTCAATGTGCTGATCTTCCACAGGAATTACAATTTCTTTTTCCATTGTAATATCATAAATTGGATTCTCCTGCTCTTCTTCAACTTGAGATATCAGCAATACTTGCTCTTCCGGACCATATGTGTTTCTGTGCAATAACTGTTGATTATCAATTTCCATTATTGCATTACCTTCTAGTTGTTGATCTGGTTTTTCTGATATTTCAACAACAAATTTCGAATCTTTATAGTATGGATCATTTTTTAAAAGAATCATACACATAATAAGATCTTCATCTTTTGTCACTTCTATTCCCTTAGAAGTACCTAGGTTGATATTAAGCCATACATTTGCTTGAAACTTTTTGTGTCAAGCTCTATAACTTCAAAAAAATTTTCTAAGGAATTCTTCAAATGAAGTCCCATCATTTATCAGGAGGAGTCTTCGTTTTATGATCCAAGTACTTGTAATCTGCTGTCCATTTGCCATCGAACGCAATAATCAAGAAATTTGTATGCATCCTGTATTTAATGAACCCAAATAATTAGATATCTAGAAATTATACTGTTTAAAAATATAATATTCATCCAGTATAATATACTGGAGAATAAGCTTACATACAGGTGATGTCCCGTAAAATATACTGGATTAAAACAAAACTCAATTATATTCTAGTCTTAGAACTTATCCAGTATAACATACTGGAGAAAAAGCTTAGACACAGGCGATGTCCCGTAAAATTATACAGGATTAAACAAAACTCAATTATAATCTAGTCTGGAAAACAGAATTCGTTCCAGTATAACATACTGGGAGAAAAAATATACACCAAGCAGGTGACGTACTTTAAAATTATTCTGGATTGAAATAAAACTCAACTATATTATAACATAATATCTACATTAACGAAACATACTTCAAGTGAATTACAATACATTTTTTTATGAGATTTCCAATATAATAAGCTGGAAAGGTCCAGTAAAATTATATTCTAGTCTAAATAGAAACTCAACTATATTCTACTCTAAATAGAACTCGTCCAGATATAACATACTGGAGAAAATTTTGAAACACAGGTGATTTCCTGTAAAATATACTGGATTGATATTAAAACTCAATTATATTCTAGTTTATGAGAACCTTACCAGTATAACAATACTGGAGAATAAGCTAACACACAGTAATGTCCCGTAAAATATACTGGATTCAAACAAAACTCAATTATATTCTAAGTCATTAGAACTTATCCAGTATAATATAAAATATTACACCAGGTGACGTCCCGTAAAATATTCTGGATTCAAACAAAATTCAATTATATTCTAGTCTTATAACTTATCCAGTATAACTTATTGGAGAATAAGCTCTTAACCAGAGTGATTGTCTCGTAAAATATACTGGATTCTTATCAAAACTCAATATATTCTAGTCTTAAAATTATCCAGTATAACATACGGAGAATAAGCTTACACACAGGAGATGTCCCGTGAAATATACTGGATTAAACAAAAACTCAATTATATTCTTGTCTTAGAACTTATTCAGTTTAACATACTGGAGATAAGCTTACACACAGGTGACGTCCCGTAAAATATTCCGGATTCAAACAAAACTCAATTATATTCTTAGTGTTAGAACTTATCCAGTATAACATATTGGAGGAAAAGCTACACACACGTGATGTCCCTAAAAAATATACTGCATTCAAACAAAACTCAATTATATATAACTATAATATCTACATTAACGAAACATACTTCAAAGTGAATTATAATGCTTGTTTTATGAGATTTCCAGTATAAATAAGCTGGAAAAGACTTCGCTTTAGATATTAATTTAGAAACGGTCTAACAAAATATATCTATGGCGCTATGTTTACATTGAGAAAATTAGACAATAACACAGATTAAGCATTAAAACAAATCAAAATTGGAAAAAAATTAAATTTTTTACTGATACTTTGAATTTTATGGTTTGAATTTCTTGATCGTAGAAGAAATTTAAATAATCAGACAAATTTTAGATAGAAACTTACTTCAATTTGCAGACGATTGACACGGAAATTTTTGCTAAAACTTCGATTTGCAGATTGACGCAGAACGATTTTGCTAACACTGTCGATTTGCAAATACGCGAAGATTTTGCTAATATTTCGATTTACAGATTGACGGCGAAAATTTTCCTAATAACTCGATTTGAAATTTTTAATGCCCGGAAGATTTTTGTTAAGTTTTGCTAAAAGAAGAATTTAAGGTGAAGTCGCGGTAATTAATAAAAAGCAGGGGGTATTTTAGTCAACAAAATGTTACCGCACTAAATTAGTGGCTAAATATCGTTGACCGGTGATTATGTGGACACATTTGATTGACCAGGCGAAAAATGGCCATTTTTGAATTTTGGCACCACCCAAAAATTGACGGTATTTGACCAAGCTTTTAGATGTAAAAAAGTGCTTTTGAGGAGAAACAGAAAAAAATAGCTATATTCTCAAAAGCATTTTTGAGAAAATACACTTAGAAACAGTTCTTCAAAAGCTTGGCCCAAAACACTAAGGCCCGTTCGGATGGCTTATTTTAAGTGCTTTTAAGCCATTTTATAGGGTTTGAATAAAAGTAAAAAAGTTGCTTTTAAGCAACTTATTTTTCAAGCTAACTGACAAAAATAAGTCAAAAACCAAAAGCTAGAATTCCTACTTAAGGGTTTTGGCTTAAAAAATCACTTACACAAGCCCATCCAAACGGGCTCTAATTTACACTCAAAAGTGCTTTTCAAAAAATTAATTAGTCGAACACAAACTGCTTTTCACCAAAAATAGGTTTTTGAAAAGTACTTTTGAGAAAAGCACTTCTCGAAAATAAGCTGATTTTAAAAGCTTGGCGTCCAACAGGCTATAATACTGCTCACAGAAGCTTTTCAAATGTAATTAGGCAAACACAAACTGTTTATCATCAAAAGTACTTTTTGAAAATTATTTTAGAGAAAAAATACTTCTCAAAATAAGTTGATTTTAGAAGCTTGGCCAAACATGTTACAAAGTTGATGTTTATTTTACATTATTCAAGTATGTATGACAACATCAATAGTGCAGATGATGTCCAGTTGCTACAAGGTGTTTTGGCAATAATGCCGTTACGGATCATCATGAAGAAAAGCATTATATATACTATCCTTGTCAACTTTTAATGCCCCCAATTTTTGCTACTTTTTCACTCGGCACTTCCCACACCAGAAGACCCCATTATTGTATACTCACAAACAACGTTTTGACAAATATACTATATATATATATATATATATATATCATGTACCATTATTGTTTTGTTTTGTTTCATTTGCTTATATAGACTTCATTAATTAGTTGCTTTCTCTTTCTCATGTCGAACACTCAACCACGTGAACCCCCTACTCAATAATGTTGGTTTCCTTCCCCTCTCTTCCCCTTCACAAAATCACTATCATCTTTAGGTATTGGTAGACTCTCTTATCGAAGGGAACTCCGAGCAACCGGTAAAGTTGTTTCCATTTAACCTATAGGTTACTAATGTTTGCATTAAGGTAGGCTGACTACATCACACCCTTTAGGGGTACGGCCCTTCCCCTTGACCTGCATGAACACATTGATGCCCTTGATGCACCGGGCTGCCGTTCGGGAAGGGCGGCTTTTGGAGCTAGGTAAAAGTTGTCGTATATACCAACTAGGTCAGAGTATTTGGGGAGCGTGTGAATAGTCACTCTGCTTGCATTAAGGTAAGGACTTTACATCACACCCTTGGGGTTACGTCCTTAGGAGCGAGGGGCTGAGATAGGACTTGGTGGGTTCGGCCGAACCCAATTATCTTTTGATCTAAATTCATTTGTCTTAATAAAATTCATTGAATATGTAAAATTGTTAATTAGACTCCGTTACATAACGAACATAAGATTTTAAACCCACAAGCTTCAAGTCTCGGCTCCGCCTCTGACGGTCCTTCCCCCGACCTTGCGTGTGACATACACGACATGCCTTGTGCACCCGGCTGACCCTTTTAGAAACTTCTCCAGGGACACCCATCAACCATCAAACCGGTCTAAATTGTGCAAATCATATCTTGCTTGGATTATGACTCATATTAATCTATTCGGAAATATCCAACAATTATGGGTCCCATATGTACCAGGTTCAAAGCTATCGGATTCTACAAATTGTCTTCAAAAGTGACACAAAATCTAACATTCTTTGAGTAAGGTTGTCCATCATATTGGTACCTAGCTATTCTAATTACGTTTTGTATTCCACGGGGCATTTTCACGTGTTATTAGTGTACTAAGTAGGCGTCCAAATGAGGTTGATTGGGTTGAATATAGGAGTGGACATAACATGTCCTTTGTTTCCTTCAAGTTACCCACTTACCACTAACAATGGATTCTTGTTTCTACATTATGTTGAATTTGTCTTGTAATAAAATGAGACATACATAAAACAGATGTACCGAACTTTCTGACCAAAGAATTAAATCACAATCCCTATTGTGTCAATCTTTTGACCATATTTATGGGGTAAATAATGAAACATATAGGCACTAGGTCCCACAAAGATATTAATTGTCGGGCAGACCGATGGACGAAGGACGTTGTTTACACAGGGTTCAGAAAGGGACGTTATTCTAAGAGAGTATGATGTACGCAACGCAGCCTACCATAATGCAAGCTTTTGATGGCTCAACCACGACGTTCGACGCTGACCTATCAGGGTTGAATTTATCTACTGGGGCACCGCGATGGACGAAGAATCCCGTGTTTACCCGCAAGGTTTTAGGAAATCGACCGCAACACCCAAAGAGTATGAGGTTTAGCACATATTTCCTTAAATGAAGCTTCGTTCTGATTCCCATGGCTCAACTGATGATATCAGTTGAAGCTAACTATGATTTAGGAGTGAGGTGAACAAGAGTGAAGTTGGTAGAGAATTTTTTATAATTATAATTATGACATATTTATACTATTACTATACTAAAAACAGATGAACAGAAATTAGCATCCAAAAATAATAAGGGTTTCACAAAGTGTAACCTTCTTTCTAGTTGGTATTTTCTATTATAGCCATAATTTTCAGGGTTTTCTCAATCTTGTTTCATCCTTAGGACGCATGAGAGAAGTTGAGACTGTTGCCCACATATTCACAGGCTTCCCATGTGTAATCT